CCTTTGGCGAGATTGGTTTTAGTACTGGCTGATAAACCCCTGTGGGGAGATTGATTTTAGTACTGGCTGATATACCTCTGTGGTGAGATTGGTTTTAGTACTAGCTGATATACCTCTGTGGTGGGATGGATTTAGTACTCGCTGATATACCTCTGTGGTGAGATTGGTTTTAGTACTGGCTGGTATACCCCTTTGGTGAGATTGGTTAGTACTGGCTGATTTACCCCTGTGATGAGATTGGTTTTAGTACTGGCTGATATACCCCTTTGGTGAGATTGGTATTAGTACTGGCTGATATACCCCTGTGGTGAGATTGGTTTTTAGTACTGGCTGATATACCCCTGTGGTGAGATTGGTTTAGTACTGTACCCCTGTGGTGAGATTGGTTTTAGTACTGGCTGATATACCCCTGTGGGGAGATTGGTTTTTAGTACTGGCTGATATACCCCTGTGGTGATATTGGTTTTAGTACTGGCTGATATACCTCCGTGGGGAGATTGGTTTTAGTACTGGCTGATATACCCCTGTGGTGAGATTGGTTTGAGTACTGGCTGGTTTACCCCTGTGGTGAGATTTGTTTTAGTACCGGCTGATATACCTCTGTGGTAAGATTTGATTTAGTACTGGCTGATATACCCCTGTGGTGAGATTGGTTTTAGTACCGGCTGATATACCCTTTTGGTGAGATTGGTTTTAGTACTGGCTGATATACCCCTTTGGTGAGATTGGTTTTAGTACTGGCTGATATACCCCTTTGGGGAGATTGGTTTTAGTACTGGCTGATATACCCCTGTGGTTAGATTCGGTTATATACTTCTGTGGTGAGATTGATTTAGTACTGGCTGGTATACCCCTGTGGTGAGATTGGTTTTAGTACCAGCTGATATACCCTTTTGGTGAGATTGGTTTTAGTACTGGCTGATATACCCCTGTGGTTAGATTCGTTTGAAAACTGGCTGATATACCTCTGTGGTGAGATTGGTTTTAGTACTGGCTGATATACCGCTATGGTGAGATTGGTTTGAGTACTGGCTGATATACCCCAGTGGTGAGATTGGTTTTAGTACTGGCTGATATACCCCTGTGGTGAGATTGGTTTTAGTACTGGCTGATATAACTCTATGGTGAGATTGATTTAGTACTGGCTGATATACCCCTGTGGTGAGATTGGTTTAAATACTGGCTGATATACCCCTGTGGTGAGATTGGTTTTACAAACAACTTTAATAGAAGATATACTAGTTAACATTTCATAGAGTTTATCTAGCTTATCTTACAAAAGCAAGAAATATATTTAATTGAATTAATTCTTGCAACATTAAGATTTTACATAAGTGAACTTTAATCTTCGTATTATTGTAATTACAGTGAACGAGTAATGAAATCATTACTTCCGTCATTGTCAGTTTTCACGTGAGAATTAGTTAATTAATATATGTTCAGAACCCTACTTGTATATATCGCTCTTCTGATAGACTGGTAACCTTTAAAATCGGAAGGGCATCCGAGAAGCTGGAATATCTATACAGAGTCCTAGATAAGATAGCAGATCCAGGGCTACCGTACATGAAATAAATTGACCATGTTATCTGTTTAGAAATCTGGTAAAATCTGACAGACCCACAGCTAATGACCTCTCGCCACCCATTACACAGGGGAGGAAGAGTCAGCCTAACCAAGCCGATACCAGTCAAGGCTACTGAAGCTAACATTTTATATGTTAGAAAAAATGAATGGTACAGAAGTATCAGAAAAAACAACCTTACATTGATATGATGCAATACATCTGGTACGTACGTTGCTATCATTCACAATCAGTCAGCCGAGAGGGTCACTTTTCCAAATGTTTATTTTTGTCAAAAATATCAAAACAAGATGATAAACCACCTGTGGTATCTAGCATCAGATAACCTACGTCTTTAAATTCAGTGGAAATAGCAACGCAGTATGGAGAAACAGAAAGTAGTTAATATCAGAACACGACCGAGAGGCTGTCATGTCGTAAACCGAAATATTTAAGTGCACAGTCTATGTATTGAATCGTAAGAGATTTTCTTGCCCTCACTTCCCTCTTATTATATCAAATAATATACACATTTTTTGAATGCCAAATAAAAGATGTTTGACGTCACTTCAACAATTCCTTTACTATTAAGTATACTTTTGTAAATACAAGCTAGGTAAGTTAATGTTAGTAATGGATATGTTTCTGATTCTCTTATGTTGTCGATTGACAAGTTTTAAATACCTATGAACTTTTTTATCCATTTTATCATAGGAATGAGGAACGTTCCAACGCAATTATGGAATCTCTATAATCTGAGTAAAGATAAACCGATGGCATATAATTGTCACGTATAGTTAGTGTGCCTGCTAACTCAGTTCTATACCATTGTACATAGATAATTTACACCATGTTTCGTTACATGCTGCCAACTTACTTTGCTTGTATTCTAACACTAACACTTAGATTGATGCTGCAGCAAAACTGTCCATATTACAATATTTGTAAATATTTCATGTGTGCAGCTATTCCGTCTTCGCGTATTGCAGAGTTATCTTCTCTTGTGAGCAGGTATTGATTGTTACGTCATTGGTTTGTGAGAGAAACGTCATCAATTTTTGAGAAAAGGACTTAATTTTCTTACACAAACCAATGACGTTACAATCAATACCTGCTCACAAGAGAAGATAACTCTGCAATACGCAAAGACGGAATACATCAAGGTAAAATACACATTATAGAATGTGCGATCTCCTTGTTTTAATGAAAATTCTTTGCAAAGCATACCCTTGAAACAACAATAATATTGGCTGACCTTATTTTCTAACGAGACATTTCGATATGTAGCAAACGTTGAATCATGTAAATTATGAAGGTGCTATATGAAAAAGTCTCAATCTAGGTAAACGCTAAAATTTCGTAGGTGGTAATCAGGCCAGGATCGGAACCGTACAATGGGATGAAGGATGAATGCGTTCCGAGTAGTTCTCCAAATTATTGTTTTTCAAGTTAAAAAACAACAACATATACATGTATCTGGATCTCAAATACGATTCGGGTCAGATGTCGTAGTGGATAGCGCATCGTCTTTCACCAAAACGGCTAGGGTTCGATTCCCGGTTGGACGTGAAAAAACTATTACATGTATGTTTTCTCTGGGTACTCAGGTTTTCCCAATTAAGACTTTTGCACGCTCCTTCTAGGGACAATAAGAGCGATTAATATAATAAATTATCGGTCAATAACCATATTTTATTTCATAAAGGCCCGTTTATAAAGTCAGCTTCATACACAGTCAGCTTTCAACAGAGGGATATATGTGGTACAGGGTATGTCCTTATCGAATTACCAAACAATCGGTTGATTACTAGTATAATGTGTGTATCAATCAAACGATACGATGGTCGCGATGGCGCAGTGGATAACGCACTCGCTATTCACCAACGGCGGCATGGTTTCGGTTCTCCCCCATCGGACATGAAAAAAGAATGGGGTCACCTGCCTGACCACGTGGGGTTTTCCTGGGACTCCAGTTTTCTTTCGCATTAATACACCACTCCCTTCGCGCTTACATCCGGGCCAACAAGAATGATTTATATAAGTTGATAGAACTTGTTTCACGATTGTTGTAAAATTAATAAAGTTTAAAAATAAAAAAATAAAAGGATGTCATATTAATTGCCACAGTAGTATTTCTACAGCATTCTTCTGACTGTAAAGTTAGCGCATTGTAAATGTTGAAGATTCTAATCCCTCTCGGATGATCTGAATGTACAAGATAGGGACTTAATGTCTTCGCCAAAGCTATGGTTAAATTATTGATAATGGGATCATTTGTACGTTTCAAAGTGCTACCACACTGGCATTTCAGGCAATGGATACGGGAGACACGTAATCTAACAACAGAAAACCTCGAGGACACAAGTGGATGAGAGAGAATATAAAGAGATATTATGTGTCGTAGTTAAGAGATTTTTCAATAAAGATATATTATAAGAGATTGTGAATCGTAAAAAGAGAAGAGGATGAGCCACACGAATTGATAGAGGACAGAGTGAAACAGTTAGAGAGTATGCCACTAAGAAAGGATGGACCGCAATGTTAATGTTAGCGGGTGGGACAGGCCTTAATGTTAAAATGAGGCTTATATGATGTACTTCAATGTTAATGATAGTATATATGATAGGCCATAATGTTAATATAAGGGCATATGATGTACTACAATAATAATAATAGCGGATGGGATGGGCCATAATGTTAATATAAGGGTATATGATGTGATAGCGGATAGGATGGGCACTAATGTAAATATAAAGGTATATGATGTGATAGCGGATAGGATGGGCACTAATGTAAATATAAGGGTATATGATGTACAAAAAATGTTAATGATAGCAGATAGCATTGGCAATAATGTTAGATAAGGGTATATGACTAAAAGAATCTCTGAAACCTAGGTCACAATTGTACCTATGAACAACGGGGAAAAGTTTGCATAGAACCTTGAAAGAAACACAATTAGAAAAACAAAATAGGTGCCCTAGAAGGGTAAGCTGTTTAGCTTCATTGACGACACCCCGTATGTAAATCTAGGTCAAGTTTCGTTTGGGTGATTTTCACCTGTAGAAAATCTGCCAAGCTGTTACACCAATACATGTGACCTTGTAAAATTAAGATTAAGATTGAAAGAGTCAGTCACGTGAAAACGCACATATATTTTCATGGGGCAATCATATTATATCATCCGACATGAAGCGTTCCTGCCTACTTCATTTTAAAGTTAAAAGTTTATAAATAAATCGGTCGATATTAACGATCTCGGAGGGTGCCTTCTTGTACAGTTTTGCAAGTTGTACTATACTTAAGGTGTTCGCTGTACCAGTTTTCAAGATTATCACACAACAGCTATTTAATTTTATCCAGAAATTCCGAGGTAAAACACAAGCCTTAGGTAATTGCTAAGAAAATAAAAAGATTTGACAATCAAGTAAAACATTTTCAAATTTATTTTTACAATTACCATAAATATTTACAATTTGATTCATACATTCGATTCAAAATGAATAATGTTAAATTAGTCGGAGTGGCAATAATATATTAGTATTGTTCAAAATATACAATAATTATATTTGTCAATCTCTCATTCACTATCGACCGAAAGCATAACAAATCACAACAGCATCTTTGACAATGCGTTGATGAAATGGGAAAAAACATTACTTGTATCTAAGTCTAGTTAAATGTGTTTTTCCAAATTAAAGAAAGTTGAAATAAATCAATTGATATTCATGAAACATGTATTTTTGTTATTAACTTTTTGTACATAGCATTAAATGACGTGTCATTGACTTTTGTCGAATTTTTGTTTTTAAAAGCGCCTTTCTGAAGTTACTCTGAACATTTACTTCTTAACGTTTGGACGTGTTTTTGCGTTTAACTATTAAAACGTGCAAAGCTCTGTCATTTTTGTTTATATTTACAGTTTGTCAATATAATAGGTCAGAAGAACGACACTTAAAGTAAAACAAAATGAAAACAAACATAATCAACATCGCTAATTTGTTCTACTTTTCTGCAGTTGAGTAATGCTTAATCACATAGTCTTACAAAACGAAAAACCACTTGAAATAGACGCCACGGACATACTGTAATGAATCATTCAACTAGTCAACAGAGACGTCATAATTGTAAAATAAGTAACTAAACAAACGGCGACATTCAACAATATCAAACTTTCAAATCTAAAATAAAAATCAATATGTATCTATATATACATTTGTATCGCACAATGCTTGAATTTTCACAACCTTTAATGTGTTTCTTTCTCTACACCACTGTTTTCAAACAAACAATCAAATAATGAACAACCAAAATAAATGGTATTAAAATGCACATTTCGCTTCAATCTGATTTGCGTGTACATTTTTATGTTTGCTCAAAAGAACGATAATAAATATTACATTGTTCATAGTTTTAGTGTTTAGACTAATAACATTAAACATCAAACAGAGATATAATTCACAATGGGGTATTCTCATTGTTAACGTATTTCACATTTGTAAAGATTGACATAACAATGCAGATAGTAACATTTCCATTTTCTTTACCAATCAAAATGAAGGAGGGAAAATGTTTTTGATGTTTTTTTCTGTGTTACACCAAGTTAACATAATTACACTATACATATTGTTTCTATTTACCCGATTCTTCCGAATCCATAATGATAAACATTGCAAAAATGACTTAATGACAGCAAAACAGTGTATACTCTTACATGATTGTTATCACATAGCATTACCAATTAACCACTAACGAAAATAAATCATTAACAGCAAATACTTATGAATATTCATATATTTCGTAAATTTGACTATGCAAATGTTTCCTCGTATAAATATTCAAATAGTTCCTTTGTCAGTATGTACATATCGGTAGTATTCTCAGCCTCTTGTCTAGTTTTCTTGATGAACGTCTAACTGTTTAGTTAATCTCTGCCGACACACGCTCTTAATACACACTCAGTATGAGATGAGGTCATTCTCAGACTATTTCACGAGATAACGGGTGATGTTTCGGTAAGTTTGTATCTGTCTGCATCGTTCCAGGTGAGTTCTTTCAGATAAATTGTACTTTAACGAAGCAATACTATAGGAACATCGAATCTCGCATTTAACATAATGCGTTACGTAATCACCAGAACCTGCATCATCCTTTCCATAACATGGGCTCCGAAGAAAACGCTGTTTGCATATATACACAGGGTTATTTGAAACACTTATCATGTACATTCATACATACCACACACAAATGTAATGCCATCACGAAAACATAAAGGTCACCAGTTCCACGGACGTAGTTGTATCACAGCAAACGACAAAATAAATTATGAATGAGAGGCTATGCTTCATCTAAGTATGAGTTTGTATGACATTATAAATATGGTACACATTCGAAATAACGTCTCCTCTTATGAACTTCAGTTCGGCCCTACCTTCAAATCCGTGTTATCAGAAAACAAAAAGTTGTACACCGACCACAAGCAAAGCCAATTTAATCACAGTCCCCAAATACAAGAATTTGACAATCAGAAATGGTTCAATATCAGATTCCAATTATTTATTCACACGGCCATTTACTTAAGTGCGTCCTTTGTTGCCAAGCTTCAACAAGCAGAAGCAAGTTCATATCTGCTCAACACGCTGCAGGTTAAACATGTATTAATCAAGTAGTATACTTCAAGAAGTATGTCTTCATATCACAACATCCGTCTACACCAGCGGGCAGGTGCTATCACCGTACAAACTGCTTCTTTCGATTTCTATTACCTTCTTTTCGTAGTCTTTCGCGTCTTTCACGCTTCTTTTTCCTTCTATAAAAAGCTCGCACTTGTTCTAATAAAGGTTGTTTCCGTCCTGAAATATATAAATTAATCAGGTTAAGAGGTGCATTAGTTGTGTTGTAATAATGACGTGCTTGGTTAGCATAAATTGGGATTTTTAACATATAACCATGGTGCATACTGACATACCAACTGGCTATATATTATCATGAACAGATCACAATTATATACACTTAACACTTAATAAGTTTTTTTTTTTTTTCATAAGAAGTAAATTTGTGACAAAATAAACCAAATTAAGGATGTTCACATCTGTGAAATCAAAACTTATCTGTATTTAACTTTTTTTCTCATACACATTTTTGGAAAAAGGAGGTCATGACATAGTAGAAAAAGCAAACAGAATTATATGTCCGTGGTTCGTTTTTGTGGTATGATCGGTCAAAGATACCAGCTTAACATAATATGTGATTTTAGGTGATTTGTTTGGTTTTGACCATTTGCAGAACAAATTCATACAATATCTTCATAGATGTGTTATCAGATATGTATGAATGTTTGCAGAATTGATAAAAATAAGTCAAATAATAAAATTTCTTAACATTATTATATTTTAGCTCAGAAAAGAAGAGTTACCCATAACCCTTATTTTTAAAGAAAAATAATATAGAAATTCTGTTACTAAAACTTTTTTTTAAAATATTTAATGAATAAAAATAAAATTGGTTCCTTTTTCTAAAACAAAAATGGGGGGTCCGTGTGGGTTTTTTTTGTCCCATTATTACTTGTGCTACTTTTCAACCTTTTCGGGGTCAAAAATCGAAGTGCTTCAGTTACGCTAAACGTGTGAAAAATACCAATCATGTCATTTTCCACTTTGTTGCATATTGTTTTCATCATAATTAAAAACAATTAAATTGCACAGCAAAATTGAACCTGAAAATGGCGACATAATGACAATTGAAGTGAGCAACCTAGTGTCAAAAAGGTGAAATTTTGGTCTTTGGTGAAGCGCAAGAATACACATTTTGAAAATGGCGCAAAATAGGTCATTTCTTTAAAATCCTTGTAAAAAAGAATTCTACAAACAACAGGCATCTAGTTTTTGACGCATTTTTCAGCTGCGTGTTTGCTATTAAAACTGATCATAACTGTTTAAATATAACAAAAACCAGTTACACGAGAACAAAACGAGACTTGAACGTGATTGAAACCTCATAAGAGTACATCCTTAAGGAAAGATGTTGGGTTACGGCTGGATATGAATTTGTTCGTTCAAGAACTTCCATATATACTGTAAAACTAGTACATAGGTTAAACTTATCGGTGATTAAGAATATCAATGAAATTAATTGTATACACTATAAAGGTGCCAAATATAATAGCATGCCCATTGTAGACCATTGTTTTCATCACAATGTTTACAAATAGCCCATGATCAATCGTTGACGTTAATTAAATAATAAATATTAATTAATCGCCAAATATGAATAATGATTTATTATCAGAATTGGTTTGGATAAAATATTGAAGATAATGAATCTTTGGTTCTTAAACAAAACATATTAAAATGTTAGTCCGAACACATTGTTATCAGAAAAAAGTCCGCTATAAATAAATGTACAAAACATGACACATCAATTAAATAAAGTGATGTCGGATTTACAAGTAGTAAAATCAATTGAATGATGTTCTCTAAAAACCCTTACATGCTTTTTAAAATCTAATCTTACTATTTTTCTTTGCCTTTTCCTTTCTCCTCTTAATCTTTTTATGTCGTCGTCTTTTCTTGGGATTTTTCTTTTTCTTCCTTCCCTTTTTTCTGTTTTTCCTTCTCTTTTTGTGTTTGTTGCTCCTCTTATCACGTTTTTCACCTGAAGACACAATGAATCAGAACATCAGGTTGTATAATATTGTTAAGAGTTTATACATGTATATAGTAAGGTCTAGTTGAGGTTCTTGTCTATACAACTTAATATTTGTTTTTATTCTATTTCAGGTTTGTCTGCACCTCCCCTTCTGTTTTAAAAGAAGTTTAGACCAATTTGAAAGTCCACCTCTTTTAGCCCCTAATGTCACCGATAAGTTCTTAACAACTGTATGGTGCAGTGTAATTCATTTGTTAAGCATTTTGCATCAATTTGGATTTCCCCTCTTTTGGCCCCTTACATCACCAATGAGTCCTAGATAGACAAACAGCTACATGATGCAGTGTAATTCATTTTAAGCATACTGTATCAAATACCAAATTGTATTGGTGCACTCGCCTGTTGTGTCGTATGTTTATATCATAAGACTTATTTGGACAGGTCATATTGTTGATTCCATGCATTCAAATAAAAATGATAAAGGCAATGCTTGAGAAGATATTACAGATGATCTGTTTAGAAGAATACTTCTAACACATCAGTTGCATCATGTGCCTTCATGAAAAGAAATACGTTTATTGCTCAGAAACACCATAGCACTATATATTGAGACACACATATAGAAAATAGACCCCTTAGGGCAAGTAATTGATAACATCTCAGTTACAATAAAAGACAAAAAGAAAACAATCAAAAGGTGTTGCAAACCTTCAATACAACATTTGTTTGGGAAGTTAAAGGTCTCTAAGAAAACGGATATCAAAGTAACATTTAACTTTTTAACGATGTGTACATATGTACTTGTAAATAAAGTTTGCTTTGGTACGTCTTCTCAAGTACAAGCGTTCTTTGTTTTGCCTAGCTTCATAAGTTTAACTATCAAATATTTATCAAGTCAAATTTTCAAAACATCAATATTTTCAAATATATGTGTAGCGATGCAGTTATTTTGTGTTTGTAATCTGATTATAATTATTTTGATTTTCAGGATATGAGGTTTTGTTTCCGGTGTAAATGATAAAAATATTTTCGATTTAAATATCATTAGAATATATTAGTGAAAATGGAGCACAAAAAACTGGTCCAAAAAAATCGTAATTGCAAACATTGGAAGAATATATCCTTTTTCAATATTACACTTAAACCAGATTCAAACATCTTATCTATAGCTTAACTATCAATCTTCTTGATAAATATCAATAATTAAGGCTATAATGTTTAAGAATATCTTGAAAGTCTCGATGTAGCGTATTTAAAATATCTCGACAGAACGCATATAATAATATATGAGCCTGAGATTAGAAGATTAGGTAAGAGTTTTGCAAAATATTGATTGGAGTTCTCGCCTTTTATAATTATGGACTTCTATACTTTATTAATAACAGGACACATTATAATCAATAAAGTTGATATATATCAGTCATGTTTATGATAAGTCTACTTTTGTAACCTTATCGTTAGCAATAAATAATGCTTACTTTTCTATTCTAGAGCAACTTCACTTTTGAAAGTTACATCAATTTTATTTTACATATTTTTCTACCTCGACACGGAGAAATGAAACAAAATTTTAAGCAGACACGTTTGTATTAGTTCTTTGTTATGAAAGGTGTCTGTTACCATACAGAAACAATAATTAAGGTTTGATTACAATAACATGTTGAAAAATGTATAATATCTTCAATTTAACATAGAAAGTAAAAGCCTCACATGTAAGAGTTAAAACTATTTAAATAATGTTCCCACGATCAAACGGACATGAATGAGGTAAATATTAATAAACCTCGGCCAAATTACCCACTCCTCAACGCTCTAACCGTCGTTTATTTTAGACCGGATGACAAGCAATGTGACATGCACTACACACGAGTAATTAATGACATTCTCTATTACAAAATATTGATACTCATTTACACATAGTTCAAAGTTCAAAGTCAAATTCTTATGTTGCTAAACCTAATAGAGACAAGATTATGCAAAGATAAAGAAACAGATACTCTTTTCTCTCATTTCCCTTTGTGTAATATGGAGCTGTCCAGGGTAAGAAGGGAGTGTAGGAAAGTTTTATCTTGCACCCCATTTCACGTGACGTGACGTAACAATGGCTCAACAATGACGTGACGTCACGAATTGGAACTCTCCGATGCCGTAATGCGGAAAAGGCGACGTAATGAAATTAAAACCTGTTACGATATATTTACCGTACACGTTAAAAAGATGTGATTAATTTTTCTGCTCAGATATTGTTTGCAAATATGGAATATGCTAAATATGGCTGGCTAATTCGTTTTCGTCTAAAAAGTTCTGGGGGAAAATTGAAATATTAAAAATGGTGGCCAGTCCAAACACATTTACATAGTTTCTGAGATTATTTTGGTGGTTGGAATGAGAGAAAAATGCTCTTTCATGTCCAAGGGTGAAGGATAGGCAAATTCCACCCTCGGGATTTTCGAATTTGGCTAAACCCTATCCTACACTCCTGTGCATGAAAGAGCCTTATATTATTTGTTTGGGAAATTCGATGTTTCCTGTTTAACTGGTTTACAAGAAATGTCGATATGGTAGAGAGTCCCTCTACTTTTTTTACTGCATACATGTCTTGATAAGAGTAGCTTTATTATTATGTCATAGTTATTCATACTGTGACATATTAGAGACCGCGGGACCCATATTTACTAAGAACAATTTAAAAGTATTTCCAGTTAAGTTGCAGAAATTAATATACATGGCAAATATCATAACTAATAACACAGTGGCTAAGCTCCTTGGTCCTTGACCCCAATGTACAAAAAAACACACATTTACCGATCTGCCTGATGGGTATGTAGTTGTGTCGGTAGTCAAAGAATCTATTGTTTTATCTATGTCTGCAAACACTTCAACTTTTTTTCTGCTCGCAAAAAGAACTAAGCTTGATCGATAACCAAACAAAATAATTTTCTAATTTTTTAAATACTAGCTCATGAGTTACAATATATTCGAATACCATTGATGATAAGGATATGGACCTCCTTCGTTTGTATTGGATTCTGATAAGCATTATATGGCTTGCTTTGTTATTTTATCCACCACGCAATTATCCAAATATCTTATCTAATCTTGTATACTCGAAGGTGGAATGAATGGAATTTGGTTTCAGCAGATCTCAAAAGAGACTTTTGCTTCATCGACGACAATCGTCATGAAAATCAAAGTCAGGTAAAGATAATGCCACGTCTGCAAAGCGAGAAGGGAGGTTGTAACAACAAACAACAAAGCACACTTATGAGCATAATAAAAACATCGACATTTATATCACACAAGAAAGCAGCATATTTCCCAGTGAGATCATAATAGCGATTATCACACTTGTCAATGGACATGATCATGGAAGAATGAAAAAAAAAAGAATTTAAAGTTATTGTTCCCAATTCTGATTACCTCATACATGAATTCACTCTCATATGAAAGCAAACAGGTGTTAGCCAACAGAAGGCAAAATTTGAACCTAAAGGAATGCCTACAGTCTACAGGAAACTCTTACCATCGAGCTCAATAAAGATATTTTCGACCAGGCACGCAATCATTTTCACAATTTCATCGTTAGTTTATATCAATATCGATTCTGTGATGTTTTCCAGAAAAAATGCAGCAAAATAATTCAAAACCATATATTCATATTTCCGTTGTTACAAAAACAGTAGTGTGATTAACTAGTACAATGTATTTTTTTCTCTACAAAATATCAGTTATACGGGTAGAGTTTCCATGGTTATTTCGTTATGCAGAAAAGGATAAAGTTATGTTATAAGATGCCTTATCGGCAAACATAACTATATATCTATTATGCAGGTTATTGAGTGTGGTTTGGAGATGAGGGTCAAAATATAGACCTATTTTTTGTCATCTTTTTGGATTTCAAGTAGCTGATTCTTTTTGAATGACTGAAATAATATATATGACGCACTCTAAACATTAATCGAATTCAACATGTTCTTGTTTTGCCATTTCTTGCATGTAAATACAGCGGAACTAATGCATAACCTATTTTGTATTGTTTTATGTAGTACTATTAACCTAGACATATATATATGCTCCATCATATTATCAGTAAGGTGTAGGAAAGGCAATCTTCCTGATTTATAGAGCCGTCTGTTCATAATTGTGCGTGGTAATTACACTATCCGCAGTCACATAGCTACCGTAATACAATAAAGACAATCTTGCTAATACATAACGCCTATTCATAGCTGTATGGGTTAATACTATACCATTGGTATAACAGCGAAAGGTCGCCCTGTAGCTCTACCACTTGGTGAAGTATGTGTGTATGTCTGAAACCTCTAGTTTGCTGATTATCACGTCTACACTAGGTCATGGCCCAACGGTGAAATAATATACAATGGCCGTGGATCAGTGAAAACAAGCGAACGGTGCTTGTTGCACATCAAAGCGCGAGACAAAATGCATCTTCTTTTACACACATACCGCTAACATCTTGTTCTTTCGTAATAAATAATCCCGTGAGAGGTACAAAGCAACAGCGGTGGTCTGCAATGAGGAGCTGCCTGCACACCAGTTTACATATGTTAAGTGTTAGTGGAGAAAGGCGTCACCGAAAAGATGAAGAAATGTGCATAATTTGATAGGACATATCTATTTCTGTCATGGAGCTGTCATGCATAAAAGTTAATCTCCAATCATACAGAGGAATGTAGAGATATTTCACTAACATACCTGACATACCCGAACAAAACATTCGATATACACGAGAGAAGCCCGAACCTTTGTCCCGTCTATCGTTAACGCGTGCTTTTTTTTGAGACATTTGAAAAAGATTTTTTGGTTTTATTTTGAGTTGATGAAAATATTTGGAAAAACATCTTAAGCAGAAAATTAAATTAATGATAATATGTAATAGTATGAATGCGAATGAAGTAATTCTGATGTACTCGGCCTCATTTCGATATAATATGCCTCTTAAGTTAGTTTGCAAATGTAATCTATATACAAATATTCGTCAAAATAATCAAAATCAATGCGATGATAATGCAATAATTTCAATATTGTGAATAATTTTCTTCACGTATGTTACAAAAACTGAACTTAATCGGGATGATTTGAATGTTTGTGAACGGTGCCAAGATTAAGTGATATCTTTACATCAAGCAACCAGTAAAATCGGCAAATTTATGAATCACTTCATGTTTGCGAACGTTTCTCTTTGCAATTATTCTACCAACGAATTGTTTGAGGAACTTTCAGTTGTGCTAATATATCAACAGCTCAGTTGTAGTGATGTGTAGTATACAGACACTCCAATTCTGGAAATATTCCTCAGAATGAATCATGTCACTGCTCTTAGACAAACGCAATCATTAATCTTTGATAAACCAATGCGATAAAATTGCTTACGTTTTTCACACACAGAACCGGAGAATCCAACTGGACAGCGACATCTGTTGTCGCCTATGCATAATCCTCCGTGTCGACAGGTAGGCTTACATCTACCTGTTGATGGAGCAAGAAGAAAATGGTAAATAGGTCATGACAATTACAGTGACTACATCCTGATATCGCCAAGCTAGCTAACTACACCAATATGAACGACAAGTTTAATGGTTTATGTATATCTGATAAAATATACAGCTGTTTCAGCATGTGATGACGTAGTAAAAAGGACGGGCAAATTTGCAATAAACCAAAACATCCTGAAAATAACAAAAAAATATTATTGTCTTTATTACTAAAAGCATTATCATTTCCATGTTGGACAACTCTTTCCTAGATCTGTTATGACTGATCTAAGCCACCACCTGAAGCGTACGTATGATTATGATTCTACTCTAATCGATTAATGTTTATTTCACGGTATTAAATGTATCAGTAAAGAGTTTAGGTGACTCACGTTTTTCACACAAGTCACCCGTAAACGCTGCCGGGCATTGACACTCGTTTACCCCAATACACACGCCACCATTTTCGCATTGGGGTTTACATTTGCCTGCAATACGAAAATATTTCTCATTTTAGTACTTTACTCTATAGTTAGTACCAAAAAGTTATTCTTAGTTATGTTTTAGAATAATTAGAATTGAAAAAAACAAAAATCGAAATAAAATGTATTAAACAATCCTTTACACAGTTACTGGCATGTCTCGTGCTAAAATCGGAATTATTTGGAAACAAATCATGTTATGTGTTATGCAGCAATCTGCAGAAGAGACTGTTTTAGAGAATTTATCAATGTTGGTTAATTGTAATCAACGCTAGGAAGTAAAGTTAAGTTAGAATTAGAGGCAGATAACACTGAACTGGTGGCATGCATATCGGGGTCACACCGTACATAACTAAAGACCAGTACAAACTGTTGTTGTTACAGCCGTACAATGTCACAGAAAACTTCACATGTACTCAACAACAGAATAAACAAACCTTCTCACAAACGCATTTTAGTTTTTAGTATCACATTTAGCAAAAGCATATTATATCAATTATATTTGAGTAGTGTGAATAAAAGCCCTTCAAAATAAATGATGTTTGATACTCTTCACATGTGTTGTGAATTGCAACAAAACTAGTGATACTTTCTTATTCAACATTTATCTGTGCTTGCATACAGTAGTATACAAGTGGCCTTTTAGCTGACTCTGCTTTTCTAAATCAGTATAAAAATATTGACACAGTAATGTACAGCAGCAGAATTATTCACACGAGAATTTCTACAACGCCAATTGCGTCTTTGCGTATTGCAGAGTTATCTTTTCTTGTGAGCAGGTATTGATTGATACGTCATTGGATTGTGTGAGACAATTACGTCGTTCTCTCAAAAATTGATGACGTTACTCTCACAAACCAATGACGTAACAAGCAATACCTGCTCACAAGAGAAGATAACTCTGCAATACGAAAAGACAGAATAGATTGAACAGTGAACATTTGAACATTTCTACATGTGAACAATTTCACTTTACAATATGCACACAATTCTCGTGCATTTTGTATTCAACACATTACGAAAGTATGTACAGCTTGTGAGCTGTAGAATTAAAATATTTGTGTGTAAACATTGCACAGCATATTTTTGTTATTTTTAACGACTTTCACCTTTACATGCTTTCAGGGGTTTTCCCAGAGGCAAATGGAAATAGTATACTTAAAACATCATCATATGAAATGAATCAGTAGAGGATGTAGTCAAGAGAAGCATTTTATTAATTCAAAGGTATGACATATGTTTGGAGGCTGTAAAACAAGTAAGAGTCGTAAACCGGTGCAATAAAATCCGCCTTGTAGTAGGCACTTGAGGTCTCTGTATCATCTCAACTGTGGGGTGACTGGAGTGCTTCGTTATCAATTTCATAACATTTATTGAACACAAATTACAACGTTTAAATTCATCGAGGGCTGCCGAGTTTTTATAATATGATCATTGCCGCATATTCTATTACGTTGGAAATGATGAAGTTGATTAGTACATAAACGGCAGCTGCTTATTATCAAATGATCTCAATTTGAAACACTTTATGGTATTTCGTCTTCAACGAAACCACTACGAACACCGTAAACACGTTAGTGTGCGTGGAGGTTTCTTTTAAGCCAGAAGACTTGAAACATAATCCATTTTCGTCTTCTATTTTTTAATCATTTATAACGAGAAACACATCTATGGTTAAAATGAATCTTGGACGAAAGTGAACGAATGTGTCTCTATAGTAAATACAATTATTTTCTATGCCTACATCCTAATTACAAATCATGGAATATCGGTTCATTTATATTAAATATGAGCATAATTTGAAACATTTGACTGATTGAAGCAAAAGTAACCTAAATTTTCAAAAGTATTTTAAAATACAGTGTAGAACTATACCGTTTAAATTATAGAAAGTCATGTTCTCCTTACAGTTCTTTTCTCGTCGCAGAAAGACTTTCTAAATAGAAATATCCTAATATTAGTTGATTGAAAGTGACAAAGTATCATGTAAAAACGAGTGACACAATGTAGTTTACACGCAGATTGTTGAAATGCTATATTTTGAATATTATAAACTAAATTAGTACTCGTTTGGCTCCTTCTGGTTTCATAGTTTGCTATACCTGATAGCGTGGATGGTCTGCTACCTTTTTTTACTCAATGAACGGTACATTCTACAGTCTACTCGTGATAGCATACTCTAAATTCCTTCTGGTGTTTGAAAAGGTTCTGAACATAATTACACTGCTATAACGTACATGTGTTATCCGTATAGCGGCTGTGGCACATGTACGCCTTAATCCCAGAAATGGTTAAAACCAGGCAGATATAAATCTGCAATTTTCAAAATTATACCACGAAATGACCTGATCCAATACCACCTCTTTAGATAATGGGTAATAAATTGATTAACTTTTGACATACGAATTATATTCGAAAATGTCTACAGCTTTACAACTATCGTATATAGTTTTATCGAGCGCATTCAAGTCAACATATTGCATATAGCTGTGATGTTCTGAAGTGCGATTTGTTTTAATCTATGTGTAAAAACACAAATTTGCAAAATGTTGTATGCTTGCTGCTTCGAGGTTTTTAAGTCTGATATGTATCTTTATCAAACATATTCACGGTGTGTAGAAATTTTCGGATTTACCTCGACAAATACAATAACAGAAAAAAGCGAGAATGAAAGTTATTGAACAGTAATGTATAAAATCTTGAATATGAGTTTTGATTTATTTTTGTTTCACCACATTTAAATATAGTTTTATTTTAGCAATGCTACTTTGACATTTCTTATGAAAAACGACACATTTGAAAAAAAAAAAAAAGAAATTACATTCGAATATTTTATACGAAATGTTAGAACATGCATCCAGGCTACGATAAAGGTGACGACATTACACGTGTCAACAGCATAGCGTCACGTTCCCTGGTCACGTGACAGTGATAAAGTTAGCAGGTGTTCGAAATCGATACAGATAAATCTCACCCCGGAACGCAAGCACGTGACGTAAATTGACAATACGTCAAGTACTCACTGTATAACATTGACATTGCGTTTGTTGATTTAAGTCTTTATAATTAAACTATTTCTAAAATAAGATTTCAAAATGATATATTAGCTCCCAAAACAAATGTTTATCGTGGGCGTAGCTGATCTATAGTGACGTATGGAGCATACAAGGTCACATGGACGAATGACGACAAATATCCTCAACAGGAATGTAAGACGTGGCATGTACCATCCGATAAAGTGTATATTGTAATGTATTTCTTTATGGAAGTACCTAGTCATGTCAAAAATAAAACGTATTATGACATTCTTACCTAAATATTTCATTTATTAAATATATTTTGTGTTTCTATAATCTTCAATTCATTAAAATAAATAATGTATCTATACATATGCCAATACACTATTGAAGATACAACGTACACATATCTAGCTATTCTACCTAGTCTAAAGACCAAGCATTGTATTGATCACTCGAAGCACTACACAAGGCGATATGCGTCTTTAACCCTTTCAACACTGTAGACCATAATGGACTCATCCAGATCAATGTATGGCAGAGTCTACTAAAGTTACATAGGGGTGAAATGGTTAACATAATGCTTTCAATGACATCGTTTTTGCGATACAACTTATCAATCGTTTTCTTTTCTTCCATTCATCCACAAAACCAAAATGTTGTTAGTCTCAGAACACTGATTTTATATACAATCAATTGGCAACAATATTATAACACAAGGACTGATTTCATATACAATGTACTTGATTTCCTCAACAGTCTGTTATAAATAATAACTTAAAATGTTTTCAATTTAACTCTTTCCATTGTCACCTAGTAAAAACTACACTTGCTATTGTAAGACTTTAATTATTTCACAAATATTTTATGACACTGAAATGTATACGATGTTCTCAACTATTTCCTTCTGAGCAGGTTTGAGTAGTTTTAATGTAATTTTGATATTATGAGTAGAATATCTTACTGAATCTACAGGCTTCTCCATAGAAACCGCTAGTACACCAGCACACATCCTCCTGTATACAGCGTCCTCCGTTTTGACAGGGCTGTTTGCACAGAGCTACAATAGACATAACAATAATGCACACACCGTTTGTTTGTTTGTTTTATAACTAGAAAACAAATCAAGCATTTATAACCGTTTAAATATACTCATGTAGGTAACTCCTTTTCCATGCATCGGTATGAATAAATATATTTATGTATATTATATACATGTCCAACAAGACTGTAGGTAAAACACAAGACCCCAAAACAGACAAAATGGTAATCTTTACTTGTGCAAAAACAGATGCACAAGTGAAATTAATAGGAAGAAAATGAACGAAAGACAGGTTTTGTAATGGATGCTAAAAACTAATTTTGGTTTCCTCGATGTCCCCAAACATTGAGCACAAAATAATCAGGGTAGTGAAAGGAAACCTTCATTAGTCGCCTCGAACGATCATGTAGTTGGGTAGTTAGGGGCGATTATGTTACTCGAATTACTAGAAAATTGTGATGTGAAATTGAAGGACCTTATGATCTTTTTTGGTTAAAAAAAACCCTTCTAATACTGATTTAAATCATATGTTTTATCTTTGGCTGAGTACTTATGGTTAAATTTAGCTCCAGGATAGAGATAATGCTGTGACATCTATGTCATAATACTGTAACGTCTATCTCATTATAATGTAACAAATAGGATATAATACTGTAACGTATATGTCATAATACTGTAACGTTTATGTCATGATACTGTAACATCTATGTCATAATACTGTAACGTCTATGTCATAATACTTTAACGTCTATGTCATGATTCTGTAACATCTATGTCATAATACTGTAACGTCTATCTCATAATACTTTAACGTCTATGTCATGATTCTGTAACATCTATGTCATAATACTGTAACGTCTATGTCATGATACTGTAACATTTATGTCATAATAATGTAACGTATATGTCATTATACTGTAACATCTATGTCATAATACTGTAACGTCTATGTCATAATACTTTAACGTCTATGTCATGATACTGTAACATCTATGTCATAATACTTTAACGTCCATGTCATTATACTGTAACATCTATGTCATAATACTTTAACGTCCATGTCATAAAACTGTAACATCTATGTCATAATACTGTAACGTCTATGTCATGATACTGTAACATCTATGTCATAATAATGTAACGTATATGTCATAATACTGTAACGTCTATGTCATGATACTGTAACATCTATGTCATAATACTGTAACATCCATGTCAGTGTACGATCGTCATTAATACAAATAAACTGGAAATGGTTCTTAAGAAACATATTTTCAAGTATTTACCATTTAAAATCTATCCCGGCGTCAATAAAAACAAATTTATTCCTTGTTGTATCACACTACACTATAATACACAAACCTTTGGGACATCAATAAAAACAAACTAATAGCTTATTGTATAATATCTTCACTCTGTTCATGACCTACCCCGTTCACAACGTTTGCCTGAGAAGCCGTCCGGACAGATACAAACGTCCTCCGACATACAGGTCCCATTGTTGTCACAGCCGTTCTGGCACATCGCTAAAACATATCATAGGGCAGCATTATTATAAGGAAATAAGTAAAAATATAAATATTAGTTTAAAAGGAAACTACATATTTCCTCCTTATTAATAAAGTTATCTTTATCGATGCTCTTTTTTGATGCAGAATAAAGCATATTTTGGATGAGAAATATTCAATTAACATCATTACCAATGTAATAGGACATATGTATTGTTAATGCATGTTTCCAGGTTATAAAGAGTGCTTGGTAGAGGAAAGTTACAAAGCAGTATAGAATTAATTTATTTATAGAACAAGCATGTTATCCACACTTACTTCTTTCACATTTTAGCCCGTGGTAGCCTTGTGCACACTCGCAGTGCCCGAACTGGCTACATCTCCCTCCGTTTATACACTCAAATGGACAAAGTTGCGAAGAAACTACAAAAACACACAAAACATAACAATCACGCTTTTTCCATATATTTATAAAGTCCTCTCATCAAAAGTCCCAACAATCAGAGTGACAATTAAACAATAGGAAACAAATCACAAAGTTCCAGAATCGGGAATTAATTTTTATCAAAAGATCACATCATAGATCCCTACAATCAGGGAGACGCTTGAACAAAGGGAAACACGTCATAAGCCCCCACAATTAGGGAGACATTTAAATCATAGGGAAACACGTCATAAGTCACCACAATCATGAAGACACTCAAACCAAAGGAAACACGTCATACATTGTAAGTCCCCACAATTAGGGAGACGCTTGAAAAAAGGGAAACACATCATAAGTCCCCACAATCAGGAAGACACTCAAAACCAAAGGAAACACATTACAAGTCCCCACAATCAGGAAGACACTCAAAACCAAAGGAAACACATTACAAGTCCCCACAATCAGGGAATACTAATAGAAACTGAAATCACAGATACTATTAACGATCCGATGACAGACAATTCAATTACATATAGCAGGACATTATGACTGTAACATTGTCGCGGCGTAAATTAAATCCTCCGTTTGCTTCGTCTAACCCCTACAGCGTATATTGAAAGTACCCTGTTAGAAAACCCATGATGTTCAAGGACATATCTATCAAAAACCTAATAATTTGACCAGCATCTTGAGCATGGGAAGATAATTATATTGATATTCATACTGAAATATATATATCTTTATTAATTATGGGGCAAAGAGGTAATTCCAACAGTGTGGAAAAGTTTAGATTGTCAAAATTCGGGTGCCTTTTTCAAGACACAGTGAAACAGAACAGTTACATGTACATGTACATCATACTACAAGAGGATAGCACTGATTCTGTTCTGTTTCACTGTGTCTTGGAAAAGGTGCGGATCGCTCCGAACATTTGACAACCTCAACTTTTCCACACTGTTGGAATTACTTCTTTGCCCCATATACTATTTTAAGTAATTCGTATCCTACGGAAATACCTCCATTAGGATCCAGTGTTATATGGGATTTTACCGTCTATATTACTTCTTTGACCCATATTGTTATTAATTATATACATGGAATGCTAAAACGTACTGCTACTAATGGTATCAATATGATATTGTAAGGTAAAATTTGATATGACGAGATGCTAGGATACAAATAGGGTAGTCTTCCGATACATTATGTCAGACAAGTCTCTAAATCACTGAAACGAAATACTATAAATACAAGATCGCAATACATACCGAACGCTGAGCAACTCTTTTTCAGTTTGAATTGCATAGGAGATCCTCGAATTGGCTGACCATGCTTATTGAATATTTGAAGGCCAAGCGTTAGGGAGGCTGTTCCATCATCCTCGCCTGTACAGGGTATAGACATCTGGAAAACTGTGGAAAAGGTACAAGGTTATATTAATTCTAGAAAACGGAAAAAAAAGAAAATAAAAAGAATAAGGGTAACAAAAAAAATACATATACTTAACTTTAATGTTACATCCATCTTTTCACACAGATATATATACAGTATATAATATAAAATTTAGTCCATTTATAGTTTTACAAAAACGTACATTGGTGTAAGATCACGTGCGACTTAAAATATATTGTGCACCAGAAACAAGGGTACAAGCAAGAGAAACCTGTCACTTTGAAAGGCAAGTTTACAATCAAAAACAAAATATTGAAATCACAGAGAATTGATTTCTTCACCTAAAACGACAAGTAATTATCTTAAAGGTCCATAATTAAGCTAGATGGCGCCACACGTCTTGCCTAGCGATAACACACATTGCCAATATTCTGAGATTGATTGGAAATTTAGAAACATGAAAATGTTTAAGTAGCGTGTAATGTATGGTCTGGGATCACTATGGCGACGCTGTGAAGAAGTCTTGTTTACAACTTCGGTATGACCATGGTGTTACTCATTACTGATCCCAGGATAGTGTGGATTGTCTTTAAAAGAAGTTCGATCACTTTTAATGAATAGTTCAGTCAGCAAAGTCTCCTTAATGGGAAGGTGCGTGTGGTAAGTTGGTCCTGAAAACCACTTTGAATGCTCCGAAAAGACGAGCATTTCCTGATGTTGCGATGATTTTGTCAGACATTTATGAATTGCTTAAATGTGTTAATTATCATCGATCTGGAGCATTTCAGTTTTAGTGTACTTGGCGGAGACACTATGTAATGACTGATGCTTACGCCTTAAAAATGCTCCGTGCAGTTCCAATGATAAATTAATGCATATGCCTGATAATTTTAATCTTTTTAAATTGTGTCTATTCAACTTTGGAGCTTTCATCATCCCCTAAGTGGTTTTTCAAGAGTTGATAGGCATTCGGATTTTCACATATATATGTAGGTTTGTCACTCGTTATCTTACCTAGAGATGCAGACAATTTTTAAAAGTAACCAGCCAATCAGAAATCGAATTGAACCGTTATACATCACAGTCTTTATATACTCTTTAATTCACACAGACGCGCTTGTTAGCCACGGTATGGTCATATGCCCCCGTTACACAAGCGATAAAGGATATGAATATCTAATTAAACCATCTGCTAGTCGGCCTATGTATCTTTCAACCCGCTCAGTACCACGTGAAAAGATCTTCCTAAACATGCCGTATTTAAAATACATTGGTCTTTGTGTTGAAAAAATAACCCAGTTTATCATCTCTACTGCCATTCTAAGATGTATTTGAAATAGATGTAATACCATGATTTACGTTTATGAAACAAATTAGCCGGAAATTGGATTCAAAATCATAAATGGACTTTACGTTGTAAGCACAAGCACCAAATACTAATTGGTAAACACAGTATGAGAAGGTTCTCTAAAACGTTAAATGGAAGTATGTTTATTTAACCATTACGCTATGTTGGTTAAACGATGCACCCATTTACCCAAGTATATCATGTAAAAGTGTGGAAAGGTTTTAGACAAAATATGCACGGATTTATATTTTAACTCAAAAACAATAAATATTTACCTTTTTTTCTATATGCTTATGCTATTTGTATTTTGAATCTACTTAACTTAAAAACAAATATTATATAATTTCCGCACAACAAATGAATTGCATTGATGCGAATCGTCGATTGACGATTCGTGATTCGTTTTTGTGACGTCATCAGAAATTATTTAAATGTCTTGTTTTTTGTGAAATCACCAACAAAACAATTGTCGACATTTTTATTAAATAGCACAAGGGCAAGGAACTAAAGAATACAAACAAAAATGGAAAATCAAAAACTGACGATTATGCGTTTATCGTATAAATATCGTGAAAAATATATATTATCCCTACACCAGTATAACACGAGGGTGTGTCTGCCTGAGAGGCTCTGTCAGTTGGGGGTTCAATGCTTTTAATAGCTGCAATACATATTGCATTAAGAGCTAGTATGTTTGTATAATTCTAAGGTTTGTTTGTTGAGAGGATTACATCAATCGATTAGTATCATTACTTTTGATTTATATATTTATATTAACAAACTAGTTCTTCATAGTTGTAGACGTTATTATCTCCCGTAGCAAGACCACACGTAAACTGCTCGAACACTAGATACCACTAGGCTTGTGATGTAAATGGGGGAAGTTTCCGCAATATTTGATTTTAAGACGTAACATACAAAGTGGTCTTTTGAGAGATAATTTGCACTTGTGTAAAATGCATGTCCCGGTCTTCCCTAACTAAATACTGAAGAGTTTTCTCGAGTCGTCTCCGGGCTTTTGGCTTCACCTGTTGAAGTCTGCTTCAGTGTCGGTTTGAGACCCAGTCAGAAGTACGATGTGTTTACCACAGCAGTTTATCAAACACATACATTATGCATTCATTCTTTTTTTACGATGGGAAAAAACAGGCGTGCGCTTTTTTAAAGACATTCGATAATAATCCCAGTTTAAACTACGTAAAGCATTACGTTTTTGCTTTGATTGACGTTTGACATGCAGAGGATCGGCTAAAATTTATAAGACAAAAACGTAGCAACATTTACATTTTATAATATAAAAGTCAACAGCTGTGGGCATATAATGCTCACATACTTAATAAACTGTATTCTCATCCGTCAAGACCAGGATCGATTTACCTTTAATCATGCCTCCCGTCACAAGCAGACATGTTTATATCCGTAAGATGTTTAAGTGGTGAAAGCCTGTTTCAACAAGCAAACAGTTTATTGCAAATGACTCAGAGAATAACTGGGCCGATTTTCAACGTTTATATACGGCAGAGGATGTGGTACGGAGAACACCACGACATGTGCCAGACGCTCCATCAACGACTATATGACGACTGTAGCTTATCGTTTTACTAGCTTAAGGAAAACCGGGCTCTCTAGCGTGTACAGTTGGTGTCTAGAGGTAGTCTCCCTAATGCCAGAGGTAATTAGCGGGACTAGGAAGAATAAAGTGATTTCCTCGTCAGGGAGACCACAATAGACAACAGAGGGGAATTGGCCAATTCACTGAAGACAGGAATAAGTACCTCAACACGCATGTGTATGGCGTCTTGACAAAATCTCAAACACAAACAATGCAAGAATCACTTTTTATGACTTATGAATATACGATGGCACATAGTGGACATAAAGAGTGTCACTTAGAGTTAGGCTACATCGATTTGTCGAAGGCCCATAACAAATGTATTGATAAATTGAGACATTTCTGACAGAGAAAACAATTATTACATTTCATAATAATTAATCGAGTGACAAGATCAGTATTAACGTTAAAGTTACACAAAAATAATGAAACGCAAAAACTTTAATGACGTAACGTTAAAACTTGAGTGGTTTATCAATAACTTGAATGAAATAATGTAAAAACATTTTTATGACGTCAGGCAATAAAATATGTATTTGTGTATGGTTGTGGAGGGTGCCCACTAGTGGGCAGATAATCACATGTTGACAGAACCGATGTTTGGATGCTGCCGAGATTGCCTTAACTAAGTTACCTATACTATCAGAGTTTCTGTTAATGATCGAAAAACATTTGTATGAATGAGTTTTTCAAGTTTTCAGAAAGAATCCCTTATTTCAAAAATATATTAAATCTATATATATGATAACAAAGACATTATGTTTACTGATTCACATTAAATTGATATTCAAGCATAGCAGTTTTCTTCTTTAAAAGGAATATTATATACGTCTTTTGATCTACGTTCGACTTCGATGTTGCGTTTCAATATCTTATCCGCATTTATTTACTCTCCTTACGAACTAACTGCGATTTGTGATTTGCGTAAAACTATATCATAACTTACTAATCCCCAACTCGTGTACATATTAAAGAGAGACAGGTTTTACAATGTGTGATAATTCGTTGCCCCTTTCCGCCAAGTAGACGCAGTATATATAGCAGTGACATTCTGTAAGGGAGCGAGTATAAACGAAGAAAACCATGGGTATGCAGGAAGGTTATCCATAAGGGTCGGAGGCACTTACGATTCTCAGTCTAAATGTGAAAGGTTAAGTTAATTGGATGCGAATTAGATAGAGATATAGCCAATGCAATCGGTTTGGTTAAATTGTTTTGGAATATGGAAAGTGTCAAGAATCTAGTTAGCTGATACCTTATCTTGTACGTAAACATTTCTGTAGCAGGGTAGCGCATTTATGACAAACTAATTTATCATCTCTGACACTATTTGAGTGAAAAAATGCAAAAGTTGGAATGTTTTTTTTTAAATAAATGAATATGGTTACACATGTATATATCTATTCTACCAATGCAATATAATTGGTATAGTACCAACTTGTACCATTAGCTCATATCTATTGATATACTGTTTTGCCGTCCAATCATATGTTTCTTATTGTAGTGATGATTCCTCACTTCCTGTAAGTGTATTTACATATGGACTTTTGAGTAGAGATTTTATCGATGTTTGTTGCCGATTTGCAATATTTATATCTTTCTTTTTATGCTTAGTAGACACTTAAAAAAGGCAAAGATGTTGAAGTAATAAGTGAAATAATAAAATAAAATCAACCAAAGCGTCACACACAAGATAAAGGTTTTCCGTTTCTAAAACTCATAAATTCTCTAAATTTATTTGGATACCAGGAAGGGAGTGCCTCAAATAAAGATTCTCCTATATACAAACAGATTCTACAGATAATCTTAGTTAGCCTGTGTAAACTTCCGTGAGCTATTTATTTACGTGTAAAAAGAATGACCTTGATTTTCTCAAAGATTATCCAGTTTTATCACTTCCATGTGCTTCCTCAATCTTACGTTAACCGCCACTCAACCAGTATTCTCATGCCTAGTTACTCTCATTATCCGACAGTGTTAAAGTACATAGACTGTTAAATTGATTCAACCATGTGAGGCATTGATACATTCTAAATAGGTGAAAATTGGAAATTTCCTGT